CCCCCGAAATCCTATTGGTTGAAACTGCAATGTCAAAAAACCTTATTAGTCGAAATCCCGACCAAAAATAACCTTCCTAGATCGAATTACGGGCCAAAAAGATCTGATTGGTTGAATTGCCCCCCCCCCCCGCGAAATCCTATTGGTTGAAATCGCAATGTCAAAAAAACTTATTAGTCGAAATCCCGACCAAAAATAACCTCTGATTAATCCCGGGATCCCGGTACCGGGAATGACCGAACCCGGGAATGACCGAACCCGAGAACAACCGAACCCGGGAATGACCGAACCCGGGAATGACCGAACCCGGGAACGACCGAACCCGGGTAGTTCGGGCTCGGTGCATGCCTAGTTCTAGTTCCTTTCGTTATTAAATTAAGCATGAGAATCACTATGTAATATTAAGTACTGATATATTATGGAATAATATTTGTTTGATAAATATTTTTCGACATGTAGATATTGTTCTTAATTTCGAAGCAAAAACAATCAGAAATAATCTTGTCTATCTTAAATTTGTATCTACATGCGCGAACGACATCTTCCAAGTAATAACTGATCAAATTAATGATATAACTAAATCTTTCTTTCTTAGTCCAAAAAAAAAGATCAAAGTCTGAAAAACATTTAGTTTCAATTCTTTGTTCTACATACAACCAGCATTACCATTCTAGTGCAATTTTTTCTCACATCATTATTATTACAAGAGCGCATGATTGATATCAAAGTTTGTCGTTTTTATTTTCTCTAGTATATCACTGTTATATCGAGGTAAGCAAAACCAGATGTCGAGATTCACTTGGTGTCTATTGTGTGTGGTGATAACACGAAAAAAGAAATATACGTGAGATGATACTCCGTAAGTGTGCCATAGTTGACCGAAATTTTAATTCATTATTATATCTCATGCTTTAATTCTAGGTGTTCTTAGTCTTCTTGTTTTAATTTCATCATGTCAGTCAATGACTTTGTCACGAGTCCAACGACGACCACAACACGATCCCGATTGTGATTTCAATATCACACAATTGATTCAAAGTAAAGGTTATCCATGTGAAGAACATAAAGTGATTACAAAAGATGGGTATATTCTTGGTGTTTATCGTATTCCACACGGTCGAAACTCATCATCACCAGGTCGACCTGTTCTTCTTCAACATGGTTTAATCGATTCAGCAGTAACATGGGTAATGAATTTTCCTGATCAAAGCCTTGGATTTATGCTTGCCGATGCTGGTTATGATGTTTGGCTTGGTAATGTTCGTGGAAATTATTATTCACGTGCTCATATCAAATACAATCCTGATCATGATACAGAATTCTGGAACTTTAGTTGGGATGATATGGCAAGAGATGATCTTCCATCAATGATTTATTACATTTTAAATGTCACACAACAGACACAAATCGGTTATGTCGGTCATTCACAAGGTACTCTGATTGGTTTTGCTCAATTTGGAGGTTTGAATAATATTGTTCAAAATAATGTCAGTTTTTTTGGCGCTCTGGCTCCTGTTGCTCATATAACACATATAAAATCACCATTAAAATATTTATTCAATAATCTAATGGCTCCTGAACATTTTTGGCACTTATTATTTGGTAATAAAGAGTTCTTTGCATCATCAAACAATATCAAATGGTTGGCAAAACATGCATGTGGAAATATTATACTTAATCCATTGATTTGTGAAAATATTCTATTTATTATATGTGGACCAGACAACAAAAATCTGAATCATACACGAACGGAAGTTTATATATCACATGAACCAGATGGAACATCTGTAAAAAATATGATTCATTTTGCACAAATGTTTCTTTCGAAACAATTTCAAGCATATGATTATGGTTCAACAGATAAAAATCGATTACATTACAATCAAATAACTCCACCAATATATTCTATTCGTCCAATGAAAATACCAACAGCAATATTTTGGTCACGTGAAGATTGGCTAGCTGATCCGGAAGATGTTACTTTCATTTTGGATAATATCCAGAATTTAGTTTATAAGAAATATATTTCAGATTATAATCATCTTGATTTTGTATGGGCTCTAACAGCAAATAAAGTTATCTATCAGGATTTAATTAATCAAATGCAAAAATATCATCCGTCGAAATAAGCTTTTTATTTCTACGAACTTTTTTTGTTTTATTTCTGAATAAATTATTTAGCGCATACCAAAAGTGGTGATGCCCATACAATAAAATCTTACATAAGGCTTGAGAAAACTTTCTTTCTATATACTTAGGGCAGTCCAAAAGTAGTGGTGGAGTTTACTTTTTTTCTTATAGAAGGCTTGAAAAAATTTTCTTTTTTTATGAATAGATAGAGCGTTTTTCGCTCTATCTTTCTATGCTATTTGATCACTATTCAACTAATATCATAATAATAAAATTTTGATGAGAACTATTTTTGTTGAAAACCAGCTGGTAGCATTTAGAGCATAACGGATGTAGTATTTTTGCATTCCACTTTATTATCACATACTATGTTGTATTGAAAAAACAAAATACACTGTAAGATGCAGCATGAAGAGCTCTACAATTTACAAAGAACAATTATAGAAAGATTAGATAAAAAAGAATCGAATTCTTTTTTTTTTTACCAAAAAACGTCTCGTTTTCATCACGTCGAAACCTGGTAACTCAGAGTTTTGTCCATTTTTTAAAACAAAAAGTACAACTATTAAAATAAGTGGTACTTTATAAACTGTAGAGCTTTTCACGCTGCATCTTCTGGTATATTTTGTTTTTTTTCAATACAAAATATTGAGTGATAATAAAATGAAATGCAAAAGTGTCCCATTTTTTAATGCCACACTCAATATGATCTAAATGCTACCAGCTGGTTTTCAACAAAAATAGTTCTCATCAAAATTTTATTATTATGATATTAGTTGAATAGTGATCAAATAGCATATAAAGATAGAACGAAAGACGCTCTATCTATTCATAAAAAAAGAAAATTTTTTCAAGCCTTCTATAAGAAAAAAAATAAACTCCGCCACTACTTTTGGACTGCCCTAAGTATATACACTAATAGCTCAAGTAGTACTTTATAATTCTATAATATTTATTCGTTTTTTTCGAGTCATGTTATGATAACAAAATTTCGACGTATTAAAGTTTGCTGGCAAATTTTACGAATTTTCATCTTAAGAATGTGCAACAACTAACTACACATACGCAAAAAAAACAACTAAGACAGGTGTTATTTATGTGTGTAAGGATAGCTAGATATCAGAAGAGATAGAAAAAAGAACAAAAGACAAGAGAGTAGAAGCTGAAAATAGAAAAGAAAAGAAGAACAGAAAAAAAAATATGCGTCGAAGACAACATAGCTTAATGTTTTCAACACACATCATAATACGATCAAAACTATTAACCTCTGTTTTCAATGGACAAGGAACACTTTCGCTTCTATATTAAAGTGCGTACAGCGGATGTGGATGTGGGTGCATATCTTCTGCTCACACCCACACTCTCCAAGTAGAATGAGACAATTAGTAAAAAAATACCAATAATTAATCGAATAGATACCAACCATGTTTGACGATAATCAACTCAACCCTCACCCTCACAATGAATTGGAAAAGATGAATACGATGTCATATATTCATCTGTTGCTAAGTTGAACTCTTTTGTTTCATTTTATAATTCGCTTTTTTATTTTCTTTTTTTTCCTTTATTCGATAATACAAACAAAAAAAGTATTTCAAGGTTTCTTTTTCATTATAATAGAAAGATGAAATACAAAATGAGAAACAGATGAAGTTTTAAAAATCCTTTTCATATTCAATATTGAATATTTTAATTATTGTCGTCTTAGATAAGTTATTATTTACAAAGAAATTTCTTGTTAAATTTTTATTTTCTTCTTCATCATCGCCATCAGCATTATCGATCCAGACTTTAATCATTTTTAAATTTAATGGTAAAATTAAATTTTTTATTGTAGTTGATGATGCCTATTACAAAAAAATTTCACTAAGAAAAAAGTCTAATAGTTTTTTTCGCGTACTGCATATTGTCGGCGATCATAGTAGTCTGTAAAATAGATTGAATTTATAATTAAATTTTTTAATTTCGGTAGACATGGTAATAAATCTGTTATTAATGAATAAAAGCATAATGTTGGTGCTGATATAATATAATTATCATCATCACACATTTCTATGTATATAAGTTATAGATATGTGTAGAATTAAATAACTTACCTCCAATAATAAGGGTTTCTAAATGACTTAACGATTTTTCTCTTTTTGATAATTCCTTAAAGTCTTAATAAATGTCATGTGTATATGAGGACCTACTATTTTGACATCCACACCGATATGGTTCAAAATTTGAATGCAAATATATTAATGATTTCATTTTAGATCATATTAAAATATCACATAATTCTAAACATATAAAAATTCGAGTTGTGTATATACAATCCACCAGATTTAAACACTTATTCTTACTTTGTATGTTATTATCTTCTCCTCTTTTATCTTCTGTACTGATTTCATCTAGTAAATTTAATCGTCTTAAACTTTCATATAATTTTGCGATTGTTTCAAATATTATGGAATACATAGTTTCAACTGTTATATTTGATAATGTTAAAGATCTTAATTTAGAAAATTTATCTTTGAATAAATCATCGTAAAATATTATATTAAGTTTGTATTTATCACGAACTATAACTGATAATGGATAGTTTTGACTTGTTGCTATGAATTGATGTAAGTTCAAACAAAAGGTTAAAAGTTTTGTATTTGGTACTGAATCTAAATTAATGTATAGTTTTGATTCATACCGAATTAGTTGATTAAAATGTTGATTTAAATTAGAAAATATCTCATATAATTCATAGAAATTGAAATATGAAAAACTAATTAATATTAATTCGTTTGCTAATTCTGCAAATTTTGTAATCATTATTGGAATAAGACAGTATTCGTTATTTACTGAAGAAAGTTTAGTTACGATGATGAACAATGAATGATATGATATAAAAGAAAAAAATAGTACACAACTTTTGGCGTGTACTGTAACGTATCAATAATGAAAACATTCCCGTCGAACATGCTGCCTGACAATTTGCCCGCTTAGAAATGTGATGTCCGCTTTTCTTCTTGTTCTTTTCATTGTTCTTATTCTCCTTTGTATCGAGGCGATAGCGACAGCAATACTCCTTCAGTTTGCTCGTTCTTATAGACAATGAAAGAGGTTTAGAGTAGGGTGTGGGTATGGGGTGTGGGTGTTGGAACAGAGATAACTCACAGCCACACCTACACCCACACCCACACCCACACCCTACCCTTTACTACAGCAGGAAATTTTGAGCCTCACAGAGATCTAAGAGGTATCTCTAGGTGTCGACGTAATCTTTAGTGCTTAGAGTCGCAGAAACGTCTGTTTAGAAATTAAAATAACCGATTCAAGTGACTCCAGACCCAAGAAAAAAGAAGATATTAATCTACGAAAAAAAGTGTAACAGCGTTACGTTTATTTTTTGGTTTTTTTATATGAGGAAAAATAGTTAGATGAAAAATTTTTTACCATTGAAAAGCTCGTTCGATGCTCTACAAGGTTTCCTTCGGAAGTGTTTCATTTGGATGGCAACTTTCGCAGGAAATTAGAACTTAAGCAAGAGCGCTTCAACTTTAGAGTCCTTTTATGTAGCAGCGTTACGCAATGGAAAAACCTTTCTAAAAGTTCGAGACTTCAATCAAAAATTTTCATTTACATGTCATAAATAGAGCATTACAAGATGCGTCGAACGGCGTTTGAACGAACTTTCTAGCATTCACAGTTTCCGAGATAATTGACAAAAAGGGCGCCAAAAACGTAACAACGTTACGTTTGAACAAGCCGATTATTTAATTGTCTTCTTGCTATTCTCTTGTTGTTGATTTCATTCTTTTCTGTTTCATTTTCCTTAATTTTCTATGATTTTTATTCTTACTCTTTTAACATCTAATTTAACTAACAAATAAGTCTGTCACGTTTGGTGGGGTAGAATTAAGAAGGAAGGCCTAAAAACTTCGACTTAAAACTTACACTCACCATTTTCTTCGAAGATATATGTGATCTCCACAAAATCTATGATTCTAATGAATATTCTAATAGAAATCTTCTTGCAGCTGATATTTAAACTACTGAATGGAACAGCAATAAAGGTAGGTTTGAAATGATAAATGAGTGATTAACTTTTTTTTTAGTCAGAAGAGTAATCTGTGATCATAAGTTCAATTGTTGAGTTGAACTGAATCGAAGAGTCTTTAGTCCTTTTTTTAGTAGAAATATTAAAATGTTACGTCGATTCCATGCCTTGATTGGAATCAAGCCATTTTTTCCTGAAACCAAAGATGAATCTACATAATTGAAGCAACAAACTTGCGTGATATATCTATATGGATGAATTGAAAAATTGATTTGTTGATTATTAATTTCTAGTCCAACTATTCGTTCTCTGCTGAATCGAAATGGCGAAGTGAATCGATTGATGTTCATAGAGAGAGATGCACACTCTCAAAATCATCGTATATCCCCAACTGCCAGATATTCTTTGAAACTATGTACAAATAAACTTCTTTTATCGTTTGTTGAACTTCATTAAAGGTCATTTAATCAGATTTTTTTTGACGTGCAGTAAAAGTTCTCTAAAGTGGACACCATTCTGACTTTTCAAACGTGTCCACTATAGCAAGGTTAAGCGTTTTTCGAAGAAACACACACATTTTCCATATATCTGAAAAGTGTTAGCAAATAAAATAGTCGACTAAAACAAATTGTTACTTCTCTTTTGATATTTTTTTTTTGTTTTTTGAAACTAGAAAGATAAAGAATTCTTAAAATAATTTTTGATAAAGCTGTCTTTTATCATTTCTGAATTCAGATAAATGTCATTTAATTGCAATTTGAGATGGGAGATGAGAATGTGCAGCTGAGGCTGTTGAATGAACTTAAAAAGTTGAAACTTTCCCCCCTCAATTTCAATACCCGGCGTGTTCTCCACCACAGATTTATTTTCCTCCTTCCATTTTGTCATATGTTAAGTAACATCGATAAATCTTTTCTTTTATCAATAAAAAATTTACAAAGATACTCGTAAATATTGCGAATTCTTTCTTTTTTTTTCCAATTACTTCAATTTTGTTGTCTTACTGTAAGCTTTAAAACATTTAATATTGTAATATCATTTGTAAACATTTTGTTTGATGTAATCTTAACAAATGAATGACAACGAAGAAAATTCTTTAGTAAAAAAAAAATTTCAATCAAAGAAAAAACGAGACAATTTCATAAAATGTCTTTTTGTTAAAAACGCATAAAACTTTTTAAACAATGATAATATAAGAATACATTTAACACAACACAAGACCCCAGTGTGAGGGTAAGGGTGATACAATTTAATATAAAGCTGTTTAAATCCAAATTTGCCCATTAAATATTAACTTTGCTAATGAATTTGTTCAGTTTAAATAGATGATTTTATTTTGTCTGTCACGAGTTTTCGTACCAGTAACTGGTATTGTTGGAGCAGAAATATTCATAGGGTTAACTTGATTATTTCCCAACTTTAAAAAACGTTTTAGATGCATTTTAATTGTCTGTCGAAAACGAGATGACGAAAGAAAAAATATATAAAATGATGAAGCAAAATCGAGGCATAAAACAAATTGTGTCAATTGATCCAACAGCAAAATAATGTAGATTTGATCTAAATTTCTTATTGCACCTTGTTGAACTGCTGCCATTGAATAAATCACCAAGATACATCGAGGAAGTGTACATGATACATTTAATACTGTTTGAATAATCAACATTCTTGTTATTTGTTGTTCCCACATTGATAAACGAGTTCGAACAGATTGTTGGTGAGCATTAGTTGTCATAGCATGAAAATTTTGATATGTAAGAATACCAAATATAATTAAAACGATAAGAGGAAAAATACCACATAATATAGGACCTATAAAAAAATTGGCAATTTGTTGAAAAAGACTATTAGTGAATCCACAAGTAAAAGAAGGTGGAATCAAATCGGAAAAAATAAGAAAAGGTATGTTGACCAATGACCAGAATATAACAATAATTGAAATAATACAATGAGCTATACGATTTGAACTTAATCGACGTATTCTAGCTGATCTTGACGTATATGCCCAACGATCAAATGTTGCCAAACCAAGAAAACTCAATGCACATGATACTACGACTTGACTAAAGAAAAATGTCAACTTGCATGATATTGATGTCGTAGACATTGATATTGATGGAATACTTTTAAGAAGAAGAATTGATAAGGCACCAAAATCGAATAATGATTGAGCAACAATATAATAAGAACTAGGAGATTGTCGAAATGTTTTCACTCCAATAAAAATAATTGCATTTAAAATGGCTGATGGAATTCCAATAATGAAGAGAACAATTGGTACCCAAAAAGATAATTGAATAGCTGCTTTAAGAATAGACGACATATTTCACTTTCTATGTCTTTTTTTGAATTGAAATAAATATCAACTCAACTTTTACTTCTTTTTTTTCTTTTATTTTATCATCTAGTTATTCAAGCACTGTCATACCTCTAGGCTTTTTTTCTCTGTCTTTTTCATAAGATCCTCCAATAGAGTATATTTATATATCTACTAAAAGTGCATCAGAATGTCAAAAACAGATGAGCAGTGCGAAAAAATGATTAGATCAGAAACAGTATTAATTATCATCTATATCCTATGTCATTCTATGAAAATTAATCTAGTTTTTTTCTGAATAAAGCATCTGAACTTATTTTCAGTTAGTTCAATTTCGAGAATTTGAGAAATACTTATAAATATAAATTGAAAGAAATTCAATACGATGTTTTGCAAATACATTTTTTCCTTTCATATTCTATATAATATGACATCAACATATTTTAAGACGAAGGATTATATTATGATACAAATTAATTATATTTTTAGTTTATTGAAATATGATCAAAGAAAAATATTTCCTTCAAATATAACTCATAATTCAACTTGTTTAATTTAGTCAACATTTAGACTAATAGTGTTGAAAAAACTAGGTAGGTCAGATGTATTATTTTAAAAATAAGTTAAAGCATATGAAATACAAATTTTAATGTCATTCAATTGAAAAATCATTAATTTTTTATTTGTTTGTGTTATAAATGATTCTTTTCTAAAATATAGACGCTTAACAGATTGGATTATCAAAATGGCAACACAATCACTCATGTGGCTAATTTTTGAAATAATGGACATTATAATGCATTATTTTGCCACAAAAAAAGAGTTCATGACGGAAATGAATTACAAAATAATTCAAAAATTGATATATATATATATATATATATATATATATGTACAATTATAATAAGTCTATTAAACTCTATCAGGGTCTACTAAGATCTACCAGATGGAAGTGTGTTTCGTGACACCTACAGTGAGAGAGATGTGATGTGTGTGTTTCGTCGTACCCTCAGTGAGTCAGACGAGTGTAGACCTGATAGACCCGCCAAAACTGTTGATATAAATTAATAAAAAATGAATTATTTTATAATTCAGATTTTTGAATTACTTTGTAATTCATTTACATCATCCAGTGCAAACAAAAAAATGGATGTAATGACATGACACAATACAATCTATTTCTGGCGTTATAATTCATTCAAAATTCACACATTATAATGCCTGAAATAAATTACATTATCATATCACTGCATCCATTATTTTTTTATGCGAAAATAGTAGACATTATCGTGTAATTCTAGGATATTTCATAAATCTTGAGGCTCGAAAAAATAGTTTCTAGGGTGTGAGGGTGAACAAGCAGCCATGACCAGTTTCGTCCTTGCTTAAGGGACTCATCAGACGGCATGTCCAAATTCATCATTATCCAAAGATAACAATGAGGGTGTGGGTGTGAGTGTGAGTGTGTGGATGTGGGTGTGTGTATGAAGGAAGAGAAGACTCACACCCACACCCACACCTACACTCACACCCACACCTACACTCACACCCACACCCACACCCACACCCACACCCACACTCACACCCACACCCACACCCACACCCACACCCACACCCACACTCCCTTACATTCAGTCTTTTGACGTCAACTTCAAAGGATATATCAATAGACGAATATTTATGTTTATGAAACGTGCTTTAATTATCATTCAGTCATATGAAAAAAGTTGTTGCTTCACTTCTGAAACAC